GAGGGAGGAATGAGGGAGGGAGGGAGGGAGGGAAGGAAGGAAAGAAGGAAGGAAGGAAGGAAGGAAGGAAGGAAGGAAGGAAGGAAGGACAAAAGAAGAGAAAAAGAAAAAGAAATCCTCTCCTCCCCTAATCCTACAGGGACCAGCACAGGGAGGAGACACCAATATTTCCTTGGCCTGTCACTGAGGACGGTGGCTTCCCTAGAATTACTGTCATCTTCTAATGCTGTTGCATTGGACCCACTTTTTCAGGTGTCTGGTTCCCTAACAGGTCACCTGGAACACACCCTTCACACAAAATCCTTCCTACTGAGCGCAGGCGTGAAGGTGTGGGGGAAGAGGAGAGCCCACACTTCGCTATCCCCTGTACTCTGAACCAACAAGGTCTGTATTCTCGGCTGCCCGGCCACAGGCTTTCCACTCAAATGACTTTTTGATTAGTGACCCTGTGTGACCCCACTCTCCAGCAGCCACGGAAGAACACAGAACCCTGACAGAGCTGGGGCTATCCCGAGCAGCTGCTACCGCGGGACACTCAGGCTAATCAGCCCAGCATTAACCAGGCTCCAACTCCATCACGCATTAAAAACCTTCATTGTGTCTGAATAGAAAAGTACAAATTTGTTTTTAAAAAATGTCTGCATATAAATGGTGGAATTTTATAAAATAGAAAGTAAAAAAATCACCCATAAACCTACCCCTCAGAGAGAACTATGATTAATTTTTTGATGTATATCCCAAATGACTGTTTCATGCCTTTCTTCCTTATATAGCTATTTGGCTAGTTACTTAACTTATATACATAAAAAAAAATGAAATAATTTCTTTTAAAAAATGAGGGCTTATAGAAATGCATTTTCTGCCTTAACAGTATAGTGTGTTCACCTTTCTAGTGAGCACATTTAAACCCATAGCAAGATTAGTAAAGAGTTAAATAGCAGTGTGATGAACATCGCATAATCTATTTAACTCAAAGTGACTGGGTTTTCAAAAAATTAACTTGTTATTCTATAAGAAAGTGTGGAAGTTCCCTGGAACTCAAATTTTAAAATGACAATAATTACTGCATGAAAATACAGCATGTATGATAATACATTACCCAATATCAATAAGAGAAGGTTTTTTAAAAGATGCGAACAGTGGCTTATATTTATAATTCTTAAAAATCAGATATGGTATAAATGTCCAGGAACTGGGGAAGAGTTAAGTAATTTATGGTCATGGGTTCAATGGACTATAATATTCACTAACAGGCACTGAAAAGGATGTTTACAGGACCAGCAGGCGGTCTGGTGGTTAAGGTGCTGAACCTCACATGACTGACTTTGTGGTTCAAGTCCTAGACCCAGCAGCTTGAAAAATAGGCTGGGTGTATGTGTGTATATCCCCAAAATCCCAAGAAGAAAACGGAGGAAAAGGGACTGCAGCATGGCCATCCCTTGGGGGGTGATTTCTCACTTTCTCTCTCTCTGCCTCCCTCTGGCAAACACATATGCTCTATGGCAAAAATCTAAAAAAAAAAAAAAAGATGCTTATAAAAATGTAGAACGCCTTCATAAACTACTTGTTATGCAGGAACGCCTACATATCTAGTGTGACCACAGCTACATAAAACAAACTAAAATACATGTACAGAAATTATGCCCCAAAGATTCAGCCTGGTCCTTCATGAAAGGTAAAACTATAGATAAACGAGTTTTTGTCCTTTTAGTCTGTATTTCTCAAAATGTCTAAAAAGGGTATATATTAACTTTATAATTAAAGGAACCTTTATCATTTATAATAGAAACAAAGTGCTGTCCTTTCATTTAGTCTCCAAAACAGTAATAGACTTGTAAGGGACCAGGTGCTCTCTCCGACCGAGCCCTTGGCCTTACCAAGGTGCATGACTGTCAGATGGTGACCAGCAGCTGGAGGTACCTTGAGTTGTTCAGGAACTCAGCCAGGAGGCCCATCCTTCACCTGCATCCTCACCTGCTCCTGTGCCAATATTCCCAGTGATATGGAGAGAGGTTCAAACCAGCTGGATCTAATGGGTATGCACTCTGCTTTGCTGACTTAGCAAAACTTAGAGTCCAGGCAGGGAGAGTAACTTTGTGATAGCAAAACTGAGGCTGCACTATTCATGAAAGCCCAAATAGGGAAATCATCAAGACAGTCGAGAACTGAGAATCACATAATTACAAGGTACCTTGAGAACCCTTCGCAACTTTTCTGAACAGCCACCTCCATTCACCTAAGATCCCACTTCCTTTCTGCCTCGGTAAGCCTCTGAACAAGGGATTCCACAACCTTTTGAAGGCTCCTGCCTAGTGACACAGACATGATTATATTCTTAATAAGAATTCAGCAGGTGTCATGGTAGTTAAGGTGCTGGATTCTCATATGGCTGACCATGGTTCAAGTCCCACACTTGGCGGCTTAGAAATCACAACAAATAAATAGACAAATAAATAAATAAATAAATAAATAAATATTTCTTAAAAGAGTACATCTCTAAATTTTTAGAATTCATTAAGCCTATTCTATGCTTCATATCTCTTCTATTCTCACTACTGAAGAGAAAAAGGTAAGAAAAAGGTAAAACCGTAGTTAACGAAATCTAAATAGCCATTTTTAAATTCTAGGCAATCTGATAATATTGTTCTTTTGATGCATGTTTCAAATAAAAAATAAGACTGAAAGTTAGCACCTGGCTCTTGGCCATTCTTTTCATTTCATTATCTTCTAATGCTCTGCTTTTCTCATTCCAAGAATTTTCCCAGAAAAGTCCTAAAGCCTAACCCCCTGGCAAAGGAAATCAGCCTCATAGACTGAGACGTAAGCTCATTGTGAGGGAGCAGCAAACAGCATGGTAGTTAAGAGCCTGCGCCTCAGATCAGACTGACTTCAGCCACCACCAGCTGTGTGACACTGGACATGTTGCTCAATCTCTCTGCCTCACTATTGTAAAGTGAACTGTGTCCTCCAGAAAGATATGCTGGTGTCCTCCCCCAGACCTATGAATGTGACCTTATTTGGAGAGAAGGTCTTTGCAGATGTACTCAATGAAGATGAAGTCACCAGGGCTGGCCCTTACCCAGCATGGCCGGTATTCTTATAGGAAGGACATTTAGACAGAGATGCACTGGAAGACAGTCATGCGAAGACAGAGGCAGCGATTGGAGTCACCTTGCCACAAGCCAAGGAACACCTAGGACTACCAGAAGCTGACCAGAGCAAGAAAGGACCCTTCCCTAGGACTTCATGGCACTGTCCCCACAGTGCCACCCAGAAGGTGCTGTACAGATCCAAACTTACCAGGTTACACTTGGTATAAATGCTTTATTCCTTTCCAAGGACTTAAACATTCCCTGCTCATTAACCATCTCTTAGAATATCTGAATCAGGCAGTTTAAGTAACTGCTTCCCTGTTCTCCCCTCCTCACCACGTAACTGCTTTCAGGTATAGAAATAAGTAAGCCCTTGAAACTCACTTCCGAAAGTCTGCAAGCAACTTGAGCATGTCGTCATTTGATAGCTTATTGCTGTCTTGCCTGTAGACGGCAGAAAATCTGGCATTTTTGTCGAGGTTTCCAGATGCATCCTTAAACAATGTTCTGAAATAGCAAAATGGTATTTCTAAACCAGGTTTCCAAAATACCAAAATAAAGTCATCATTTCACTGTGGTTCCTATGCAATGACTAATTATTATTCCACTGGCTGTGGCCAAAAGAAATCTAACTACCTAAATACACAGAAAACATTAATAGGGATGAGCACAACTAACTCAATTTACGTAAAAAACAGCCCCAGCAAACAGCTTGTGCTTAGAAAACAACATGCACTGTCCACTGCTTGAGAAGCAGAGGCACAGATAAAGACCACGGCTTCCTCCCTGGGCATCGCCCAGTCCTGGTGGAGGCACGTGGCTGGGACTGGAACTCCAGTTCTACAGCAAACACTCCTGTCCCCCTGCTAGGTCCACACAGCTACCCTCTAGCCAGCATCCTTCTCTCTAACTCTGCTAAATGATTTTCAGACCTGAGGCTTACTTGTTTCTCAGTTTCACACAGTCAAATCTTCTTTATCTTGGACAACAGAATAGTTCTACCTACCTACCTACCAATATTTGTATAAAAGACGTTTGCTTACCTTGCTGCCCAAGCAAATGGCATTCTGTACTGTCCCAGTCTTTGGCATGCCTGCTTGGCATTCTTCAGCACCTTCTGAGCAACCTTGAAGACACAAGAATAAAGCCATGGGCAATTAGATCCCACTCGTAGGAAAACTATTGGGTCATCTGAAAAGCCATGATGTACTTTTCTATGCAAAGATGCATCATGACTTTTCAGATGACCCAGTGTGATCTGAACAGCCAGTGTCATGTCCATTAAAGGAGTGCTGACTGTGGTATCTGACTTACGGTCACAAAGGCGGATGGACCCACTCAGTGCAGAGGCCCTTACTGACGGGACATTCTCTAGCAGTGATTCATAAGAAGTATACACTGAGGACTGTTCCCCAGAACATATGTTTTCTTTGGTGTTTGCAGGTAACAAACCTGTCACGTCACAGGATTTCATACTTCTTTATGACTAAGGGTTACTTATTAAAAATCCACTTACTTATTAATAATCACTGATATTGGTATTCATGTCAAAATATATCACATTCCTGGAGTTTAAATGAGAATACTAAGGAACATACTAACCTTTCACAGCTCCTAGTGTGCACTGGCTTGCGTAGAGTCCCACAACTGGGAGGGCAGATATCTTCCTATGGCATTATATTAGGTCATCGGGGTAGTCAGGACATATTTTTTCCATGCAAAAATACATCATGCCTTTCCCAACAACCCAACAGTTACTGACTTACGTTAGGCCAAGGTTTTCAAATGGTCTGTTCTTGCTTTCTAAATAGAAATTACTGCTGGGACCAGCAGTTAGCGTAATGGCTGGATGCCCATGTAGTCTACTGCAGTTTGAGTCCCGGACCCGGTGGCTTAAACTCACGCCAGGCGCGTGAGTGCATGCCCAAGATCCCAAGAAGAGAATGGAAGAGAAGGAATTGCGGCGTATCATCCCTCCTGGGGGGTGATTTCTCGCTTTCTGTCTTTCTGTCTCTCTATCTTTCCGGCGAGCACACGTGCCCTATAGCAAAAACCTCTCAAAAAAAAAAAAATTACTGCTGTTTTCACTTCCTAACAACTTTGTAGGCTGGCTAAGTAACCTCACAGTGCACAGTGAGGCACATCTGCTTTTGGTTTACACACGTACACAATGGCAGGACTATTATTACTCAGCGACATCCCGATGACTAAAGCAGATGACACCCAATTCCCCTGTTTGCTTGTACTGGGCTAGTGCATTGTCATCAAGCAGTTTCACTGACACGGAGAGTCGCCATGGGGGCTGAAGGGTCTTTTACGTGACTTGAGTACTTCAAGGTCAAACCACGTGGGGAAACCTGCCCTAGCACCTGTGAGCCCTGGGCTCTGAGTGGCAGAGCCAGCGGCACTGTGAGAAACCTACGGTCCCTTTCACCGGATTAAGTACACAAGACTGAGCTGGTGAAATAGAATTTTATGACTTTTGACAAAAACATGACTGATCTCCTCCTATGCTTTGTTTTCCAGAGTTAAAAATTTTTGTCTTCTCTTGGGTTGTCGACTGGTCCATGCAACTACTATTTGAACAGAATCCTAACCTGTTTCCTGCCTTTAAGTCTTAAGCAAAGTTCTCTTAACATTTTTTAAATTTTTTCTAAGAATTATTTTATTTAACTCCATTTTATTTATTTATTTTAATTGGATAAATTAAAGAGGGACAGAGAGGGACAGAGTGTGAGAGAGAGAGAGGGAAAGTGAGAAAGCAAGCCGCCAGGTCCTGGACTTGAACCGCAGTCGGCCATGTGGGAGTCCAGTACCCTTATCCACCACCCCACCTGCTAGCCCTTGATTTTGATTTATTAAAGCTAAAACTGCCTTTCTTAAAATTAAAAAATATATTTAAAAATACCCATTTAATGGCCACAGTGAGCTATATCGCCTCAGCTAGGTGCTACTTTATAGTATATTCATTCTACTCAAAGTTTCATGCCTAAAGTCAAATATGTGTTCACAGTTATCTATATATCAGCTGAACTTGCTATTGAAAGTAGATTAATTTAGATATTTTGTGAACAAATAAAATGTGGGGGGACAAAGGAATGAAAAGCAACTGCAGATACCAGAGACAGTTGAGAGGAGGGTGAGAAATGGCAGAGGGTGAGAAATAGGGGGAAAATACATGTGTGTGTGTGTGTGTGTGTGTGTGTGTGTGTGTGTGTGTGTATATACATAAAACAAGAAATAGAAAATTATTTGTGATGATAACATGTATGATCAAGCCACTGTACAGTGTATTCCGGACGGGAAGTGACATTTTGTATGCTGTGATGATTGATGTTCAGTGAATGAATGTAAAATACATAAATACATTTTTTAAGAAAGGAAAGAAATGTAGGGTCTCAGGCCCAGCCTGATCCCCCTCTACCAGAACCTATATTCTGACAGACCTCTGCGGATCTGTGTGCACCATCGGGTTTGAGAAGCACTGACCTACCAACGGAAGACTCAGGAGCAGAACGACAGAACTGTATTGGGGGGATGCTGGGAGACCTTCAAAAAGTTCATGGAAAACATGTACTGTAAGAAAGCTACCCATGGATTTCAATTATTCTCCCCCACCCAAACAGATTTGCACTGAAATTCCCTTTCCATGAACATTCTGAAGTCCCTTCGTATATCTTAAAACCCAGCTGTGTGACTCTGTAGGCTATGAAATCTCTTTGGGCTCCATTTTCCTCACCTAAAAGAAAGAAGGGTGTGAGCTATGATTTTCTTGATTCCTTGGAGTTACAAAACTTTATAATCATTTTGTGGGAATCACTACTTTCATGAGTGAACTGGAAAACAGCCACTGCTGAAGCAGTTATCGCGAGATGATCCAGGACCTCCCCCTCTTCTTCAGTGGGGTTGCTCTTCCTCCCTGGGGCGACCTAGTTGTCTCTGGTGCTTGGAGTCATAGGGCGAAATGGCCCACCTTCCCAGAGGGTCAACTTTACCTAAACATTTTCAGGTCTAATAATAACAAATGCGCAGTGGAGTAAAGCGCAGTATTTTCATAAAATTTAACGGTGGAACACAAGGCTTCAACAGGTTTCACTCTTCTTTGGGGTGAATGAGGACTGGACTCTGAGACTCACCAAGGGTAAAATAGAGCAGTGTACGTGTGCAAGTCAGAGTGGAAGACATACCTCTGCCTTTTGGGTCTTCCTTTTCTGTCTCCCTTCCTTTCTTTTGAAAAAAAAAAAATATTCACAATAGATATCTACAGAGACTTCATGAAAATGTCCTCCAAAACTAAGATACTCCAGTGAATGACCTAGACTATCTTGGACAACATGAAGAGACAACTTTGATAGGCAACAAAATAATCTCACTGCAGTATCGCTCCCCAAGCCTCTATGTGGACATAGGTGGCTAAACCTCAGTTCCTGCTTTAATTTTACGCTGGGCGCTGGGGGGAGCCAATGTGTGAATAACGTACACACAGATGGGCCTTCCACTTCATGAGGGTGAGGGAAAAGCAGATTCCCCCGGGTCCTCACTGACACTGGGAAGCGTGCAGAGCAACTTCGGCCCTCAGTGTAAGTGAGTTTTGCACTAATGAGAGCTGCCAAATTCCAAAGTGTGCACGCGGCAGGCAGAGGTAACAGAACAAGAGAGCTGTAAGGTGGGTGGGGGGCGTGACCCTGGGAAACGTCCTGCAAACACAGTGGGGACAGAGCTTATCTGAGGCCTTCATGGACTGTTAACACTTAAAAGAGCTTCTCATCCAAGGTTTCACACACTTGGTTTTGAGAAAGAAAACTGCTTTCTCAAGAGATCAAACTTCCCTCAGCTTTTATCAGCCAAAAGGGCTCGCTAGTGAAGCGATGCACCAAGGAAACGGCTTTTATTGGACGGGAGAGGTAATAAATAACTGTCCTCCATGCTCTCAGTGGTTTATGACGTCCACTGCACCGTCTCCTGCGTCGCCCGTTTGATTCTAACACTGCCCTGTGAACACGGTAGAGGCAGCTGGTGACATCACCCTTCATCCACAACAGGACATGGGGGCCGAGGGGTCATGTGACTTGTCACTAGTCCCCAGGCTAGTCAGACACTCAACCCACGTCTGACTCCCAGGACCTGTTCTTTAACGACAATCCTGCATTTCGGGGGACACTCTTGTGATGAGGGTGGCCACAGAGATGAAGGGAAGCCCTGAGTGAACTGAGTAAACACGGGGCGGTGCTCCTGCGGTGTCTGTCCCTACTGCTGGCTAGTCCTTGTCAGCGTAGCCACGCCATCTCAGACGTCGACGTAGAGAAATATTTGTTTAAAAAAGAATCTACTGTTGAATAAACTAACTAAAAATACTGCAAAACTGGCAAGAACAGCAGTGCTTGACAGCCTATTCTAAGCAGACTGTACAATGTGCTAGAAAGTGACAGTCACCCGCCCTTCGGCCGCGCTAGCGTGGGACACTGAGCAGGTGAATAAACCTTTGCAGCTGCAGTTTTCTGAATTATGAAAGGAGATCTCAGACTTGATGTCTTCTAACATTTACTAACTATATGGTGTGTCTACACCTAGTTGTGTAGACTAGGTGATACTAGGCACGTCTCAAGTAATGAACACTGTTTACAAAATACAGCAGCCTGGGACCAGCAGTTAGCGTAATGGCTATGTTGCTGGACTCCCATGTAGTTGACCATGGTCCAAGTCTTGGACTCGGTGGCTTAAACTCATGCCGGGCGCATGTGTGTGCATGTCCAAGATCCCGAGAGGAGAATGGAGGAGAAGGGATTGCAGTGTGGCCATCCCCACCCCAGAAGGGGGGTGATTTCTCGCTTTCTATCTCTCTGTCTCTCTCTGTCTTTCGGGCGAGCGCACGTGCCCTATAGCAAAAAAAAAAAAAAAAAAACCAGCAACCTGGGCCACCCCGTGCTATGGTGGTTGAGGTGGCTGGATTCCATATGGCTGACTACACAGTCCAAGTTCTAGACCCAGTGGGTTGAAGAACACACCAGGTGTGTGTGTGTCTGCATGCCTAAGAGTCCCAAGAGAAGAATGGAGGAGAAGGGAATGTGGCATAGCCATCCCCCGTTAGGGAAGTGCGTTCTCACTCCCATCCCTCCCCAGCAAGTGCACATATGCTACGGCAAACTTAAAAACAAAACAAAACAAAAACAAAACTGAGGCCAGCAGGTGGCATAGTGGTTAAGGTGGTGGACTCCCACATGGTTGACCACGGTTCACATCCTACACCTGGTGGCTTGAAACTAACGCTGGGCACATGTGTGTGAGTGCCCAAAATCCTGAGAAAAAATGGAGGAGAAGGGATTGCAGCATGGGGGTGACTTTTCATTTTCTGTCTCGGGCAAGCTCACGTGCCCTATAGCAAAAATCTCCCGTAAGAAAAAAGATACCAACCTTACACCTTGTATGTTCCCATTCTGTCTTCCACCTAAGGTCACAGCATCTCCCACTATAGTCCTGCTCCCTCTGACAAAAACAAGTGAACCTGAACCACTGCACTGGCCAAGCCATCTGAGCCACGGGCATCTCTTAGTCTCCAGTTTCATAGCGCAAATGGAACAAAATAAAATTCCAGAACCCAAGAGACACATCAGTGATAGGATGGATGAATTCTCTTTGCATATAATATATGTTCTTTTTAATGACAGATAGTTGGCTATTAGGTTGGCAGTTCCCTTGCAAATTATTTTAGGATGTCGGATTAGACTAGCCAAATGAGGCATTCTATTTATACACAGGACTCATTTTTACCAAGAGTCAGACACAGAGTTAAATCAAGAGCAGATATAAATTCTGAACCGTTTTGCCCATAAACATGGCTGGCCTATGACTTCGTTTAGCAATTTCGCTCCAACATGAAGTGCTTTTCTCATCACAAAGCATCAAAGCCATCCATACCTTCGAGGAGTCTGAACTTTTCATATACGGCTCAGCACAGTGTGTGATGCTGCCCTGAAGGACCTTTTCAATTCTGGCCACGAGAAATATATCTGGGTGAGGACACGTGACCGAAAATATTCCCTAGGAAACAAACGGAGATCTCCAGTAAGCAGGGTTCACAGCTGCCTAACACAAACATCGTGAACATTAAGACAGCCGAGGATGGGGCAACAGTACGGCTCAGGGAACCACCTAGTGCCAGGGTTAGCCTACGAGTACATTGTCTGCTCAAAAGCCGACTTGGAGGAAAAGAGGGGAACAACTAGGAGAAAGTTTAGAAAAAATAGAAAAGTGAGAGCCAGCTGGTGGCGTGGTGGTTACGGCAGCTGGATCCTACATAGATGACTTAGCAGTTCAAGTCTCAGACCTGGTAGCCTGAAAACCACAACGGGTGCATGTGCATGCATGCCCCAAATACCAAAAGGAGGGAGAAATGGAGAAGGGATCGAGGCCTGACTACCTTCCATGGCAGTGCTTTCTCACCCCCCTCCTCTCTCTCTCTCTGGCAAGCACATACACCTAGTTAAAAGGAAGAAAAATAAAAAAAGAAATGAGAAATAAAAAAACACTCCCTCAGCCGCTTTTACTATCTAATTATAGATGCTGTCAATACCATTCACAGTCTCATCTGCCCCACTCACGCACTGCAAGGCCTGGTCTGCCTCACTTGGGCATTCCCATGTGTTCACGCGGTGTGTGCAAGGTAAGTCTGAGAAGCACTCTGCGGGCTGCTCCCCACCTGCTTCGGATACTGCATGGCGGCTTCGTGAAGGCTGTCCTGAAGGGCAGGCGGGCTCTGCCCACCACCGTTCATCAGAGCTGGGGACGTGGTGGCCAGCATCTGCCTCACTGAGAAGTGGTTCAGGTCCACGTGGAAATCAGCAGAAATCTTCCGGTTGTATTTTATGTCAAACAGGGATAAAGTAACAAAGAAAGGCTCTACCTGCACAGAATAAAACAACCCAGTCCATCACGATGGCTCAACCAGCTGGAGAGGAAGAGAATGCTATCCAAGAAGAAATGACAAGACCTGTTTATGACGGATGCCACAAATTACTAGTAAAGATAAATAGTCCTGTTTTTTGCCACATAGAGAAGTAGATTATAAACCATTTTAGAAAACAAACGAAACAATCGTTTAACCTTTACATGCTTTGCTACTTAATGTGTGCTCCACAGAAAACGTGAGTCGCTCTCCCTAAAGCATCAAATGAAATCTGTCTCCTGGAACACAGAGCACACACCTCCCATCCCGATCCTTCAACATAAACATCCTGTCAGTGTGGTTAAAATAACTCTCTGTACCCTGAGTGAACACTGTGCCTCTTAAATACCACAAACTAGGATCTCACATTCATCTGTATTGTAATGGGCACCTCTGAAATCTCTGAGTGTTGAAAGAAAACAAAAACAAAAACAAAACTGTACATTTAAAAAGAAAAAATTACATTTGTCGTGGGTCCTTCTTCATTTTCAGCCACGCAGCATTGCAAATTGAAAGATAAATCATTGCACTTGACAAGAATCCTTTTCCCAAACTTCTCTTCAAATGGCTTCACTTCTGGCTCAGCTGATGAGAAGTCAAGCTTCTTTAAAAGAAAATGTAAATAAATACATCATGCTTCCATTTAAAAATCCCATCATAAATTTACTCTATGGAAACTGCCTAAAACATGGAAAAGCTATGTATTAATACAGTCATACACTCACGACAGTGTTCTCTTATAAAAAGCTTACAGAGTTTATAACAGTTACATATAGATGATAAAAACAGTCCAAAAATGATGGTACACCTACTTGATAGATGATTTAAATAGAGCTTAAAAATTAAGGTTATGAACCTTAGGGTCCAGTCATAGGTATGTATGGATACATAAAATATAGTATAGTGTACACATACAAGGGAATATTATTCAGCTATAAAAAGGAAACTCTGACACATGCCACAATACAGATGGACTTCGAAAACATTACATTAAGTGAAAGGAGTCAGATCCAACAGGACAAATACTGTATGAGACCCACACTATGAAGTTCCTCAAACAGGTGAATTCAGAGACTGAAAGTAGAACAGAGTTACTAGGGGCTCGGGGGAAGGGAGTCATTATGTGGTAGAGTCTCAGTTTGGGAAGATGAAAAAGTTCTGGAAATAGATAGTGCTAATGGTTCCACAACTATGAGCATGCACTTAATGCCACCGAACTGTACACTTACCAACTGTTACAATGGTAATCGTCACGTTATATACATATTTTACCATAAGAGAAATACAGAAAAACGCTATCACAGTAAATAGAAAAATAAATTCTATTTTGTTTTTAAAAAGGCCACAGATGAAGAAAAAAAATATTCAGGAGGAAATCCAGCAGAACCATTGTCCCCCCAACCTCCAAGAATCCTGTGAGGTACTAACTTTTGGGGGCAGTCCGAAGGCCCACGCCATGCTGTTTGGGTTTGGCTGGAACACAGACTGGCATGGCACGGTTTCTATGTGAGACTGGGCCTGGGCTAGCTGGGGATGATCACTGCCTCCGGGGTGTCTGCAGTGATACCTGCTATATTCCAATGGTTATTTTAACAGGTAAATATGCTTTGGAGGGACTTCAGAAAGTCTTTGGCTAAATCTCTCAATTTTCAACAATCCACTGAATATCAAATATCATCTATGGTGGCAAAATTATAGATAGTTTTTATTTTTCCTCAAAATTTTGATATTATTATGTTGGTTGTCAATCCAAAATAAACAAATAATTCCATCAAAGATTTTCTTTCCCCACTTAGATGAAAATGTTAAACAATAGCTCTTACCTGGGTATCTGGATCCAAGTGAAAAAGTTTAACTCTGCTCTCACTTTTCAGTTTGATTTCCGCTTCTCTGGTACTCTGATAACAAGATAAATAAAGATGGCACTGAGCAAAGTTCATGTCTTACAGAGCTGTCCAAGTATGTTGGAAAGCCACCCCAACCTGAAGGGCCAGGCACTAGACAAGTGTGAGGTATAGAGGGAGTGCACGTGGACTAGGAAAGGGCATGCAGCAGGAAAGGACCTTCCAGAGGAAGGTCATCTCGAGGGACGCACACATTAGACCAAGAAAGGAGACCAGGGTGCTCCAGGAGAAGGCATCGTAGGTCAGAAGGACACGGCAGGCACACCTGGGCATGACAAAGTCCTTCATTACAACTCAACAGTTGGGCAGGATGGAAAAAGTCAAGAGAAATGAGTCTGTGACTTCTATCTTAAGGTCTGGAGAGATCAGTCAAGAGTCCAACATATTCTGCAGTATTTTAAGCAAGAAAGTAAAATGGTAAGTTCTGTATTTTATAGGTTGTTAGAGAAGTCATGATGCATTTTTCTATGTATTTTTCCATGCAAAATGGTCATGATTTTCCTGACAACCTGATAAAAGCAATGGATGAAAAAAGAGAAAGACCAGCAGACTCGTGTGTCTTTTGGGGGCTGTCATAATAACCATCCGGTTCACAGTAAGGCCCATAATATATCTCCCCATTCTAGCATGGATAGGCTGCTAAATGATGAACCTATGAGCTGAGATAGGTAATTCAGAAAGAAGAGCAAGTTCATGGAAAAGATGATAAAGTGGAATGTGGAGATGCTGGTGGGATTTCCAACTACCTGGAGGGATGGGACTTGAGCACAAGGCAGAGAAGGCTAGAGTTATAAACTTAGGGAACATCAGCATAGGGGTGGGAAGGAGATTCTTGGGAGTAGATGAAATTCCCGAGGGGAGAGTATGGAAATAAATCTGAGGACAGAATCCCAGGGACTCTAACATTAAAGGGATGAACAGAAGATAAACCATTGAAGGGAACAGATGTATGGTGACAGAGACTAGGCTGGAGAGAAAGAATTTGGGAGCACAAAGAAAGAAAAAAAGAGACTCCTAAGACATTTGCAAGACAAAAGTCATCTCTAGTCCTTATTTTGCATGTGTGGTGCCTCTGAATCTATACCCTATTCTTCTTGGCAGTCAGAGCTCTTGGCTCCTCTCAGTCTCCATGGTTAATCTCCACAGAATCAGAACAGAAGGTCCTCTCTTATCTGCTACTTCCCCCAGAGTCATGCTGAGACAGATCTCAGTACTTGATGACAGGCAATGACAGGCATGGCAGAAAGGGCATCTTGTCTTCTCTACTGGTGGCCGAACAAGGTCTATTATTACATTTCTCATCTGGGATAATGTGATATTAAGCATCTTCTTCATCTTCTCAGCCCATGCCATTGTGATAATGACCCAAATTATCATTAGAGTTTTTAACCAGCTACTATGTCTCAATGAAATGACCACCAAAATACTAAGAAACTCTGCTCCGGTTCTAGTTCAGTCGTTACCTAGCCGTACAGCTACTGAGCCTCCCCAGACCCCATTTTCGTTTCTAAGTGAAAACGTTGAACAAGATGATAGATCGAATCTCTTGCCACAACAAAGTGTACCTTGCTGCTCTCTACGGAGTCTCACAGTATGCAGGGTAGAAACAAGTTCTTAAGTTATTTTTACATCTAAAGTTGTCCTTCTTCCCCACTAAAGGATCTCTAGTGAACAATACATTCATTGGCTAGAAGGCATAGCCAGGTTAA